AGGCCTCGAAAGTGGCGGCAGTTTCACAGAACGCAGCCCCCCAAGGATGGCGAGGTCCCATGTGAGTCTGCCGTGAGTACCCACTGTGCTGGGCCCCCCAGCAAGCCTCGAAAGTGGCGACAGTTTCACAGATCGCAGCCCCCCAGGGATGGCGAGGCCCCATTTGAATCTACCGTGGGTACCCGCTGTGCTGGCCTCCCCCCAGCAGGCCTCGAACGTGGCGGCAGTTTCACAGATCGCAGCCCCCCAGGGATGGCGAGGCCAAAGGCAGGGGGGAAGGGAGGGGCGGGGGGGGGGGGGGGGGCGGGAAGGAAGGAAACGCGCGAACAGTGCTCTATTCAAAACGAGAACCCAACGCAGGAGGGTTGGGAAACAACAAAACACCGTTGGTTTCGGGAGGATGTTGAAACCGAATGTCCAAACCAATTTCAAACACATTGGGTTTCGCAACGCGGATTTCCAAGAAACGAAACGTGCGCACGCGCTCTTGCGAATACCAAAGAAAAAACATACGTTGGTCAACGTTCTGTAACATGTTCCCGAGCGGGCATCGCGCGCGCATGTCGAAATCGCTCGGGCGCCCTTGCGCGCGTGCTGGGGCGGCACGATCAGTGACAAAAGTACCGCGCACGCCACTTTCGCGCGCCTGCCGCGCGCGCATTTCGAACTCCTTCCAAAACCTTAATCACCGCCGCGAACACGGGGCATCGTCGTCGGCGTGGTCAGCATCGGCGCCGCGACTGGCTGCCCCGTCGTCGCTGTCAGCATCGCCACCAGCGTCGCTACGATCATCGTCGTGTCTACCATTGTCAACGTTGCCATGATACCGCGCCCGACCAAGTCGCCGACTCGCACTGAAGTGCCCGCTGGAATGTGCCGAGCGGTCAGCGCCACCGCGTTCGCGTCGGTCGCGCCAAACTAGCTGGCCGCTGCGCGCGCGCGGGCGTGCGCGGGCCAGCGCGGCCGCATAAATGCACCAGCCAACACCCAGCACTCATCGCAATCGCGTCCGCATGGGGTTTGCAAATCAAGTTGCAGAGCAAGAGATGGATTCTCCTTTCTTGAAACACAGATTGTTCGACCACCCCCCCGGTTGAATATTCACTTTGTTCGCGTTTCAATTTACATGCGATTAGGTTCCATCGTCCATGCGAACTTTGAACTCATGCTATCCCAGCCAACCCGGCATCGCCCCCCGCCATCCTCTGCAAAACAATACTTTGCGCGCGCACTCGTTTATCACAAATCATAAATTCACAAGAACCTTTTTGCAACAAATGTGATGAAGCGCGCACGCGCGCGCGCATGCCGGAATCCTTCCAAAACCTTGACTTTCGGACGGATGTCAAAATCGAGTTTCCCCGAAAACATACCAAAACACAAGGCTTCGCAACGCGGAGTTTCTAAAAAAGCTTACGCGCGCGCTCTTGCGGAATCTTAGGAAAACCAATAATTCGTTGCTTCGAGATTCCCCAATCAATATTACCAAACGAGCTTCGCGCGCGCATGTCGAATCCGTTCGAACGCCCTTGCGCGTGCCATCGCGAAAACCCTCTGCACACAAAAAAACACCAAACGGAACGCACGCGCGCGCGTCGTCGCGCGCGGATGCCGAAATCTTTCACAAACCCTTGGGTCCGGAAGGGTTTCAAAACCGATTAGATAAAAAAAACAAGCTTTCGCAACGCGGATTTTCAACGGAAGCGCGCGCGCGCGCTCTTGCGCCGTCGTCGTCGTCGTCGTCGTCGTCGTCGCCCCTCCTCCCTCGTCGTTGTTGTCGTCGTCGCCGTGGTCGTCCTCTGTCTTTCCTCGTCGTCGTCGTCGTCGTCGTCCTCTCAGGTTTTCCCGCTGCCATTGGCAGACGAACTCAATGGATCTTCGAACGGTTCCTGGTCAAAGGGGCCTCGTTTCAACGGGGCGCCCAGTCGCAATTGCGCTGGGATTATGCTCGGCCTTCGGCTTCTTGAAATCGGGCGAGCTCTCCATTTCAGTGCTGTGGCTCAACTCGTCGGGCATCTTGAACCGCCCCAGAACGTTGGCTCTCGCGTCGCCTGGCCGACCCCGGGTGACCCCAATCTTTATGCGACCCCTTCAAATGTCTCTGACCGCGCTTGTTTGCCCGTCATCTCCCCCAATCCCCCAATCTTCTCGCCGCGCGGCTTCGCGCAATTGCCGCGATGCGCACCCCCCCCCCCCCCCCCTCCCCCCTCTGCCGCCCTGCCTCTCGCTCTGCCCCCCCGCCGCTCGCCCCCCCCTCCCCCCCCCCCTGCTCGCCCGTTTCCATTCCCGCTCTGCGTCCGTCAGCGGCCGCGCTTCCGTCGCCTTTGTTTTCCTCCTCCGCCCCCCGCCATTCCTCCTCTAACCTCTCCGGGGGGCAGGGCCTCCCCTCGTCGTCCGCCCGGATCGCGGCTGCGGCGCCCCCGCGAAGGCGCCGCCGCCCCCCGACGAGGCGGGCTCGGCGCGAGAGGTCGAGAACGCTCGCCGCCCGCCGAGGAGCGGCGGGCGGAAGAGACGGGGGAGGGGAGTAGCAGGGGGGGAACAGGAAG